TGGCGCGGTCCGTTTCGTCATCCGGGGTCGCTCGGACGACGTCGTCGACAATCGGGTCAAAAACGCGTCGAAAATTCAAATTTTACAAAATTTCGACCCGCGATCGATCGTCCTATAGGGATCCCTTTTGGGTTTCTCATGTTGGTTTCATCCTTCTAAGTGTTAGAAGTCGATACCACACACGCGAAACCACAAAAGAGTACCGAAGCGGGTTGAATTTCTAGAATGAGGCGGGTCCCATTTCTAAGGTTCTAAGATAGTCGAAGGGAGATTCCTAAGGCTAGATCCTAAACCCTAAGCGGAAGACTAGACCTCACGAAAATTGAGGTCAACAGTATCCTGGTGATAGTTGGGTGGCAGGTATTTTTTTTGCATTTCCTTCTTTATTTTAGCCCACGTAGTGTTCTTTCCTTCCCGTCGCGTTATCTAAACACTTGTAAGCTTAAAGCATTTATCCATCCATCCTACTTATCAACTTGTCAAAGATGATCAATTTAAAGTTGATCAAAGCTTACAATAATATAATGCTATGTCAAGTGCATTCATATGTTCACTGTCAAAAATCTCACGCGAGTAAGAATGTAGCTTGCATCTCTTGGCTGGTTGATTAACCTAATTATCATGTTGATATCATATTACAATCTCATCATAAGCCTGAATATTTCCCAACGTGTTATGTTAGTCACTATTAGTTTAAGAGTATCGCTTTCATTAAACTTCTCTTTAGATCTATGAGGTCCCCTTAGAAGAATCAATCTATGATTGTTGATAATGAATTTTTGGTTAATTTGGGTCAAAAAACAAGTAGATTCGATTACAACTTCGAGAGGATAATCATGATGTTTATCGCGGTTATAAACATTTCTCTATAATGCACTTTAGGCTAATATTGATAAATGTTTAATTTTCCCATTCTGTTTATTGCTACTTATGAGTAATGTATTGTTGAGCCTATAGGATAACCTTAATAAAAAAAACTTCTCTCTACTGATTGAGAGGATTATTATTCATGGGAGTTGTGCCTATAAGGAACCTTGAGCTAAATTATAAAGTCTTCATAAGAGGGTGAACTCTTTAAGTATTGTTATCGAAAATTCAATATACTAAATGAAAGTCGGCCTAAAATCACATGAATACAATATAATCCATAAAGGATTTTTAGATATCACATTAATAACTTAATGCAAAATAGATGCATAATATAGGTTTGATGAAAATTCAATAGTTAAACGAGCCTAACATCTTCCAAAAGTTGTCACATATCTAGATCAACTTAGGGCCCTAATATTTTGATTTTTTCTTTTTAATTCCTGGTAAGGAGGCACTATTTTCGCCATGTTTTGGGCTCTTTGTTTCAATAATGGGATGCAAGTTTGTGAAGGATCTTAATTAAAGAGTTGGGATGCACTGATAGAACTGGTTAATAATCTATGCAATTCAAAATGATCCACCGTGATCAATTTTACTAGAATATTAATTGGTTTCACAAAATTTGACGTACTTCTCAAGCTTATATCATTCTGTTGGATATGATATTCTTAGAGCTGAATGCTGCATTCTTTCTTGCCTCTTGTTCTTTCCTGTTTCACCTAGTAGCTTCTCATTATCAACACAACATTGCAGCACCTCAGTTTATTGCTTCTTTTTTTTTCTATTTTGAAGAATGGAGATACTTCATCCTTCTTACAAGCATGCCCTTGCAAACGCATGTTTTTGCAGTTCTGCCTTAATATTTTTGTTTTTTTTTATCAGACTGTGGGTGATAAAGTTTCTTTTATCTTTTTCAAAATTTGTGGTTGAAAACGTGAAGCATGGACTGAAATTATGTTTCATGTTGCCAATCCAAACTCCTCAATTCTCTCCTTTGCCCTCTCCTTACCAAGGTCAAACCCCCTCTTTTGGTTTCCAGAGCATGTTTGTGTGGAGTTAAGAGAGGTTTTCAGGGTCAAATGGTAGTATGATGAATGTTTTAATGCCTCATTTGAAGATGCAGTGGGATATAACTGCACCACTCTTGCTTTCTTGCACGAACTCATTCACAACAAAGCCTAAGATGAGCTTCTTCACTTCCTGCCTAATTTTAGTTTTCTTGCAATTTAATTCATATTCTATCATGAAGCATTCATAATTCTCAAAACATAAATTAATGAATTCCATCCCTTCTCCATGTTATTCTTTAGGGGTTGATTGCTTCTTTCATTTTTATAGGTTTTGTGCACGTGAATATGAAAAAAAGAAGGACATGGCTTTTGCTGCATTGGCATATAAATGTATGGAAGTGGCTTATTTCAAGGTTGCATTTTTCAAGTGTTATGTTGTATCTAAGGACTACCATGAACTGCAAGCAACCGTGCAGACATTTTTACAAGGTTAGCAGAATAAAGTTTTTTTCTTCTTGACATTTTCTTTTTTTTTTCCGCTGATCACTGGTCTTGCGCAATGTCATTTGTTTTTATTTGTTAATTGTCCTAATTTTCCTGTATTTTTTTTTTTTTTTTATGTGAGATTGCCAGCTGATAGCTTGGCTCAATGAACTTGCCTGCTTTAAATCTTTTGGCTCCTTTCTTTTAGTCCTCAATAAATTTTTTTTTTATTCTTACAAGGCGAAGCATAAAATTTTTGGCTGAGCTTTGCCTGTTTATGTGAAGCGTGGTTTGATTTTACTGAACACTAAAAAGATTATTTTGTAGCAATTTTCTCACCCAAAAAACCTTGATTAATACTTTTATTATACATCTATTCTCTTATGATGTAAAAGGTTATACCAATGTTTTTAAAAGCCCAATTCATGTGCAAAGAAAAGCGAAACATGTGATACCTGCTTAGCTTTGTTTAATCGTGCTTTGAAGTGCTAAAGCAAAACAGTTGGTTCTATTCTTAGTTTAGTGAGAAGGCATAAAGCGCTACTAAATTAATTTAGCTTGTTTTATGAATCATGAGATTTTATTAGTTTATTTAAGCTTTAAAATTTATATTTTATTTAAAGTTATAAGAATTTCTTTGTAATTTTAATTTTTTAATTATTACAACAAACTATTAGAAATTGTTCGAGATTTTAATTTGTCGGTTCACCATTAATGTTTGCCTTCAAGTTAGGTATTGCATCAACTTTTTTAATATTGTATAATTGTTAGTGAAGGTATTTATACATTGATAGTTTTATATAGTCTATTAGTGTTTTAGTTAATAAAACACTACTTTGCGCTTTGAAGCTAAAATAAATCCTTGGACATCGCATTGTGCTCTGTACTTTGATAACACTGGGTTATACTTTTGTTCATGGAAACATGGAATATCTAGACATGTATTTATGAGAGAGGTTTTTTTATTTTTTATTTTTTATTCTTTTGTGCTTCCAATGTTGGTTGGGGTAACTTGCAATGAGAATGCTCATAATTTGCCAAATCTAACTCAGTTATAACCTCCGAGGAATTTAATTTTTGTGAGAACAACTTATTTAAATCTGATTTTCATCATTCATAATCCAAGTTTCATTGGGTTACATCTTCTATGCTGGCTATGCGAAGTAAGGATGATTGAAAAGTATTTAGCTAAAGAAGGAAAAATAGTAAAAGCAAAAATATTGTATTAGTGCTGCCCGCTTTGTTTGAAAAAAATAAAACGATGGATTGCAACAAAATATTTTGAATTAAACAAAATGTACGTGCATTAATGCAAACGCGAGGCAGTTTCCGTATGAGTTTGAAAGCATTTTTACAATAGTAACATAAAGTTTGTACCCATCAGAAGAAAAACTTCAACATAATTAAAATATATATTTTGTGAATTAACTAATATCATTCTTAACTAGTTTAAATAGAAAGAATATAAATACTGTATGATTTTATATGTATGAAATCAGGTGAATTTAATGATATTAAAAATGTCAGTGAAATTTATAGTTATAAAATTAGTATATATATTTAATAAAAATTTAAGATATAAAAAAATTATTCCCAACAATTATAAATATGTTGATGAAATTTACTCCAAATTTTTTGTGAAAGTTCATAACATATACTAAATCATATAATTGAATTAAAGATAAATTTTGATTGCATTCGATATAATTTCAAACTTAATAATTTTGGAGATTCTTTAGGCCTTCAATGGGTTTGACTTGATCATTTTGAGTTCCAGACAAAGTTCAAAAGTATCCATAGAATTCTTTAATTCGAACAACTGGCTAATCCTCAAATTACTTAAAGGATCATTCAAATCTCCAAACATGTATTTGTTATCATCAAAATAACCTCGTGCACTTTATGTGATCAAAAGCTTTTTCCCCACGTCCCCTATTATTCATATGGATCTATGGTAAGTTGAGGTAAATTTTGCATCTCGCATAGCTTTGCATCTACAATGAGGAAAAAAGTAAGTGTTGCATGAGACATTAGAAGAAGAGTCACAATGCATGCAAATTGTGACCGTAACATCTTAATCCTCTTTGTGTAAATCTTATGAGCCTTCCCGATAACAAGTTTTGAGATGAAACACGTTACATGTGATAGGCTCATGAGTCACAAACTTAACCTATAATCCATGTGCTAAAGCATAGAACATGATAATGCACACACATTGTTGTGCTGCACTACACATGTGCATTCATGACATAGTCATGGTTTCAAAAGTGACCTTTTGATGGCTTTGATTTCTGGTTTATAAGAATGTTTGGAATTTTTGTTTGCTCTAATTTATGCCATGAAAAGCATTTCTTTTGACTACTTCATTACAGGTCTCCCTCCCTCCCTCCCAGGACGCCAATTAAGTGTTACAACTTACCATGAAAGTAGACAGAATTTGACTAATCTGCTTGACCGGATGCATTATGTTTTTTTTTTTCCTTGCATTTTTTGGGCATGGCAATTGTTCTAAAGTATTGACCGTACAAATGTATTTTTTCTCAAGTTCTTTCTCACCTTGTTATATTTACTGTGACGTGATTATGAGACCTTTACTTGACATTGTTGTTTTGATATTCTGTACAGATGGCTCACCTTCATCGTCTGCTTCTGACCTCGATAACTTGAATCAGCCAGGTGCACTAGAAAAGGTCACTTATTCTAAGGTTGCTAGTTCTCTTCAAAATACCGGTATTCGTGGTGTAGTTTCCAGAGCTACCTTTTCCCGTTGGCTTGACTGGGTAAGTTGCTTTTTATTGTCTTGATAACTGATTGTTGTTTCTGAGTCAACAGCTCTTGCAAATTTTGCTAGTAAATGTGTGTTTGAATAGTAATTATTTCTTAATATAGGAACTTGACAATATTTTGGCTATGCAAAAATTTTTTTGTTTATTTATAGCAATTTTGAACATACAACTGTAGTGCCAACTATATTCATTTAAACACGGCTCTCTTATATATGCTAGGGATGATTTAAGGTTCAGATTTTACTTTCAGCTACTTCTATTTCTTTCATTATGCTACTGCTGTAATGTATGCATCAAAAGGCATGATTACATAGATTTCCTTGTTTTAATTTTTTGCATGCTTGGATGTGTGATGGAAATTCGCACTCAATTGTTTTTTTTTTTTTTTTTTAACCATTCAGTTCAAACTCATGCACAGTATATACAAGAGAAAATACAACCTAAGTATAATTATAAAATATATATACAATACTAACTTATGAGTGATCGATTTGGAAGCTTATTAATGAAATTCCATTGAGGTGTAGTAGCACATGAAATTTTAATCAACTGTTTAAAACTGTAAGTGCAATCAAACCCAATGCAAGAGCATAAATGAGATTAATTGCCAATCAACACATTAAAATGAAAAAAATCTATTCAAGCAAGTAAATACTAAAAGAAAGTTAATCTAATTTTAGAGAAATGTATAATATAATATTTAGACCAATCTACACCTAAGCTACCTGGTTTTGTTTCCACTTCAATCTGTCTTTATGACGAGAACGCTTTTCCTTAACAAAGGAGTAGCCTATAAACCTGCCACTCTCTACTTCGCACATGGCAAGTAGAAGTACAAAGTCCTATCCTTATGGGCTCAGAATATCCAGTAAAAGTTATAGTTGATTACCTTCTGAAAATAATTCTTGGCTTTGGTGGCGTTTATGGTAAATATCTTACAACAAAACACATATTCTCTCTTCTATAAGATTACAAATATACATTTGAAAATGACTATAAAACTAAAAAGGTCGAAAGAGAGATTAGTCTAAAATTTGAAGAGGAAATCACTTTAATAATCTTCAAATGATCAACTATTAACCACTCAACCCTTCATTTCATATGTTGGATTGCTCTCCAGTTGGTCTGTCATTAATAGGCATATGGGGTTGGGAAACTAGAAAATAATCGCTTCACCTGTTTCTGAAAATAGGAAACAGTTTATCCTGGATTCAAATTTCAGGATCAGAGCAATCGTTTATAAAAGTCCACTAAACTGGCCCATCTACCTTTAAAAGTCTTTCAAACAACGTCATTTAAATTAAATGAATTACTTTATGAAATGCATCTTTGAGCTGGAAATAGCTTGAAATATTTCAAAGGGTATATGAAAACAACAGTAAGCTTGATTAAAGATTTAAATGGAACAATGTGTAGCATTATCATTTTGAACTCCTGCATTATTTACCATACAAAACTTTTATAATGAATGAACCATTTAGATCATGAAGCCAACCAAATCATTTTAAGTCCGTTGCACTTGAGAAATTATAAAACTATTACTACAAAATTGCATCAATCCATATAAGAATATGCTTATGCAATGATTGAGGTTTATGAGAAAACATGTGTCATGACCTGGCCCGGGACTTGGAGTTAACCAAAACGGGAACGGACGGTCGAATGATAGAAATCAATTGTTTGTTATTCTAATTTTATTACTAAAAATTTAATATTTAAATAATAAATGAAAGAGTCACTAAAGAAAGCAATTAAAATCAACAAGTGGAAATTTGTACATTTTTGTTTGTTGTTCTCGTCTTGTATTACACATTTGCTCAACTTCTATTCGTCTTGTTTAAATATTTAAACTCTAAAAATAATATTAAAATAATATAATGAGTTATCTAAAGATAACCTAAAAGTAATCATACTTCTAAACTATAGTAATTCAATGAGAAGAATTTAAGATGCATGCGAGTCTATAAGAAATTTTATAATTTGCTTGTATTTCATATTTTATAAGCAATCTAATATATATACTAATAAGCAATTTGATATATGCTAATGCATGCATCAATCATCTTTTCTAAATGAGCATACTCAATCTTCTATAAGCATTTAATTTAGATTTATTTTATACTTTACATACACATTTATCTGTGAGGATCACCGTCAGCAAGCTTAACACACCCTTGGTCGATATTGTCCCATCGACTCCTGTCGGCGCATCGGTTAGCGATCTACACATCGTAATTGTTTGGGTGAAAATACTCTTATCTGCCTCTGGCCGATATTATCCTATCGGCAAAACAATTAGTAATGTAAAAAATTACATTTGTCTAATGAGGTAAGCTCTGGTTTACTCATCTCTGACCGATATTATCTCATCGGTACAATGGTTAGTGAAATAACAATCACAATTGTCTGGGGTGGTAGAAAACCACGTGTGCGGGTCCACTAGCATCCCCTGCCTGTACCATCAGGGGTTGAAATCATCCTTTGAATATACACGTCCAAGCATTCATATATAAACTATTTCATTTTGTATAGCATATATTATTTTGAGACATTTTTATGCATCTACTAAAATGCATATTTATTCTGTTGTGTAACTATTTATCAAACATAACTTTCATATCATTCATATATCTATTTCATGCGTAGATTTTACTTATATCTATTTCATGCGTAGATTTTACTTATATCTATTTCATGCATATCTCTTACTTATATCATGAATATTTTTCTTACATGTCTATTTTACATATAATGTCTATCTAAATATCATTCATCTCATGTATATATTTCATGCATACACATTTTTTCCTATTATGCTTATCATCCATGTCTTTCCTATCTAATAATAAGAAGACTGTGATTAAACTAAGGCATACATAAAGTCAAACATATAATCTGAAATAAAAAAAAATTACTGGAATTTAGAAATGCAATTACTCACCTCAGTTGTCATGTTAAACTCTTAATTTTCGATAATTAGTTGGATGTTGCGGTAACTTTTACGTTGAGATTAATAATCTTTAAGACATAATATTCAACTTTAATGCTCAAGTAATGTCTCTTAATCAAATTAATCTTTTTAACTTAGGATTTATTTACCCGAAAATTACAACGTCGCTTGACAATGAATGTCCACACTCGTCTTGGACCTGCCGCCCCGATAGACAACCTAGAATCCACAATCAACTTCAGATTTAAAGATATTGGCCAAAAAAAATAATTTAACAAAAAAATATAAATGATTTGCTAAAATATACCTTAAACAGCCTTATCGGCAAACAACTCTTCTCATATTAGCCAATTTCTCTTCTCCCTTCTTAGCTTCTCAAACACTTTTTTCCTTCGTTGATTTCGTGTTAAAATACCTTGCTGAGCTCGCAATTCACATTCGACACTATCAGCACAAGTTCGATGCCTTTAACAGTTACTGTAAAGGAAAAAAGGCCAGAAAAACCAGACAAAACTCAAAATGGAAGCAAGAGAAAGAATATGAAACTTTAAATAGTATGAAATAGTGTTCCGTACTTACCAAAAATTCCTCAGAGCCCCTGATTGCAGCACTCTATGGGCTGCCCAGTTGTCGATCGTGACCCAGCTACAGTGCAGAGTCGATTAGAAGCTTACGAGAAGGGAAGGAAACGAGAGATGGGGAAGAGGTGCATTGCTTAGGTGACCGTTCGTCGCCTCTGCTCTCATTTGCGGAATGAGCTGTGATTGCAGCTTTTCACAGGAGCTTTTGTCGAGCTCGATCGAACAGGGCATGATGGTGAACAAGTGAAACAAAGAGGGGCAGAGGGAATTCAGAAGCGGGGAAAGAAATTTTGAGAACTTTACCCTATTCGACGTATTTAACGTCCGGTATGTCGGTGGGGAACAGTAATGCGAGAGTAGGAAAGTTAATTAAGGTTTTATTTGTTTAATTAAATTTATAATTTTAATTTTTTGTTTCTCTCAATCTATTCATAATGAACTTATGATGTTTTATATGTAACTAATTGATTTTTCGTGTAGCATTTTGTAAATTTGTTTCAATTGAAATTCGAGGGTGCAAAAATTGAGGTACAATTTAAGTCGCCAAAAATATTTTTCATTTTCTCAAAAATTGGTTATTACAATCTCCCCTACTTATAAAATTTTGTCCTCGAAACTCATGAACTTCACATCAACTATGAAGATGAAACAAAAGTGAATACAAAACTTTGTTTCTTGTGAAGTGGTAACTAAAACATATGTAATAAACTATACATCTGATAAATCCAACATAATACTCAAAAGACAAATCATCTATCAAACTATGTATGAACACATTGGCAATAGACTCTTTTGATTCTTGAGGAGTTAAGGAATAAACTCTTGGGCGAACATTTTGTCTTGATTTCTCCTTACGAGCCACAGTATCAGCTTTTATTATCCTTTGTTGGTCACTTCTAGAAACAGATCATTCCTGAAAATTCCTCTTAACTGGATCCCTTCCTGCATGAAAATCTAATGTGGATTTCTGCATAGCATTAGGGCAATTTCTCCTCTGATGTTCAGGTCGTCTGCATAAGTAACACACACTCAACCCAAGTAAATATTCATCGCGACGCTACTTCCCACACTTAACACAAGGCTGTATAGTGCTACTGCCAGCCTGGCTAACAACTACACTAGTGCAGGACTTCATCTTCTTCCCACTAGACCTCCTTCTCCTAAATGAATTGTTGGTGCCACTTTTTATGAACTCTTTCTCCCATGCATGTCTCTATGCTTCAGAGTTTGCTCCACTAATACTGAATAGCCTTCAATCTTAAGTGGCATTAGTGGTTGCCTGTTTAAATCTTTCAGTCCAGAAAAAAATCTGTAGCGTGTCTCCTCTGTATTTAGAATAAGTTGGGGTGCATATCTCAATAAGATACTAAAATTCGCTTCTTATTAAATAACCAATTGATCTTCTTGCACCAACCTAATCAATTTATCTTGCATCTGTCTTCTAGCTGACAGTGGTACAAACCAATCTCTGAAGGTTTTTACAATCCCGTCCCACTATACCAAGTGGTTGGTTCTATCTCCAAACTTCTCATGCATCTGTCCTAGCCACCTTCTCTTAGCTTCTCCCTCAGAAGCAAAATTGACAAGGGCAACGCTTCTCTCTGGTGGACATAACATGTCATCTATGATTTTCTCTTCTCTCAATAGCTAATTTTTTTGCTTCCACTGACCCCCCTGCTCCATAAAACAAAGTTGGTCTCATTTCTTGAAAAAGTTTTAATTATTTATCCATTGGTGTTCTTCCACTAATACTAGCTTGAGATTGAAAATTCTTAATCAACCGAGTCATAACATTCATCATATCAGAGAAAGCACTAGTATTGACTATAACATTCTGGGATATAACAAATTCTATATTCTCATCTCTAACCTCTTCTTCTAGATCATCCATAGTTCTAAAATAACAATCATTTAATTTAATTAAACTCAATTAAAATTTTTAATTTATATTATTTTTAACTTAATAACTTAATCATATTATCCTATTGGCTTTTTCATTAAGATTCATGTTATTTAATCTAAACCTCCATTTTGATCTAAAACTTTGCTCTGATAACACTCTATTACGACCTAGCTCGGGGTTTAGAGTTAACCAAGACGAGAATGGACAGTCGGATGGTGGAATTTAATTCTCTGTTATTCTAAATTTAATACTAACAATTTAATATTCAAATAATACATGAAATAACAACTAAAAAAATAATTAAAATTAACAAGTGGAAATTTATACATTTTTGTTTGTTATCATCTTCACATTTGCTTCTCTTTTATTGATCTTGTTCAAATGTTTAAAACTTAAAAATAATATTAAAACAACATAATGAGTTATCTAAAGATAGTTCAGGAGTAATCACACTTCTAAACTATAGTAATCTAATGAAAAAAATTCAATATGCAAGCAAGTCTATAAGAAATCTTATAATATGCTAGTTTTTTTATATTTTTTAAGCACTCTAATATATATATATTTATTAGTATTGTGATATATGTCAATGTATGCATCAATTATCTTTTCTAAATGAACATACTCAATCTTCTATAAGCATTTACTTTAAATTTATTTTTACTTTAAACTTTACATACATATTTATCTCTGTGATGATTAGCGTTAATAAACTTAACACATCCTTGGCTGATATTGTCATGTCGGCTCCCGTTGGCACAATGGTTAGTGATTTACATATCACAATTATCTAGGGTGGAAAGACCCTTAGCCGATATTATCATATTGGCTTAGCGGTTAGTAATATAAATATTATAATTGTCTGGAGAGGTAAGCTCTGGTTTACTCGTCCTTGACCGATATTATTTTGTCGGCACGGCTGTTAGTGAACTAACCATCAAAATTGTTCGGGGTGGCGCTGGTGCACTAGAGTCCTCTGTTGTTACCATTAGGGGGTGAAATCTCCCTCTGAACATGCACATACAAGCACTCATTTATAAATTATTTTATTTTGCACAACATATATTATTCTAAGACATTTTCATGCATCTACTAACATGCATACTTATTCTGCTGTGTAGCTATTCATTACACATAACTTTCATATTATTCATATATTTATCTTATGTATCTCTTACTTATATTATGAATATCTTTTCTACATATCTATCTAAATATCATTCATCTCATGCATATCTTTCATGCATGTGCATCTTTTTCTTTTATGTTTTTCATGCATAGCTTTTCTATCTAACAATATGAAGGATCTGATTAAACTAAGGAATACATGAAGTCAAACATATAATCTAAACTAAAGGAGATTAATAAAATTTAGAAATGCAATTAGTCATCTCAGTTGTCACGCTAAAATCTTAATCTTCGACAGGTTGTTGGAGGTTGCGGTGACTCTTACGTTGAGATTACGAACCTATAAGATAAAATATTAAAATTTAAGACTCAAGTAATTTCTGTTAATCAAACTAATATTCTTAACTAAGGATTAATTTACCTGAAAGTTATAGTGTCGCTTTACAGTGAATGTCTACACTCGCCTCTAACCTGCCTCCCCGATAAACTATCTAGAATCCACAATTAACTTCAGATTTAAAGATATTTTGGCTAAAAAAGTTAATTTAATCAAAAAAATATGAATGATTTGCTAAACATACCTTAAATAGCCTTCTCGGCAACCATCTCTTCTCCAAAGCAGCCAATTCTTCTTCTTCCTTCTTCTGATCGTCTCAAACTCCTACATTGAATTCATGTCAGAATACCTTACTAAGCTTGCAAACCACATTCTACATTTTCAGCACAAGATCATTTCCTTCGATAGTTACTGAAAAGGAGAAAGACACGAAAAACGAGTCAAAACTCAAAGTAGAAGCAAGAGAAAGAAAATGAAACTCTCAAATAGTATGAAGTAGGGTTTCGTACTCACCAAAATTACCCTGGAGCCTTAAAATGCAGATTGCGCCCAATTGTTGATCGCGACTCTGCTACAGTATAGAGTCGTGCAGAAGCTTGCGGGAAGGGAAGGAAATGGGAGATAGGGAAGAGGTGCAATGCTCAGGTGGCCGCTCGTCGCCTCTACTCTTGTCTGAGGGTTGAGTTGCTATCGAAACTCCTCACAGGAGCTTTTGCAGGGCTCGATCGAACAGGGAGGGAGGGTGAATGAGTGAAACCGAGAGGGGCAGAGGGAATTCAGGAAAGAGATTTACCCTATTCGACGCATTTAACGTTTGGTAAGTCGGTGGGGAACATTAATGCGAGATTGGGGAGGGTTAATTAAGGTTTAATTTGTTTAATTGAACTTATAACTTCAAATTTTTAATTCTCTCAATCTATTCATAATTAACTTATGATGTTTTATATGGAAGTGATCGATTTTTCTTATAGAATTTTATAAAATCGTTTCGATTGAAATCTGATGTGTGAAAAAATTGAGTTATAATTTAAGTTGCGAAAAATTTTCTCCGTTTTCTCAAAAATTGGTTATCACAACATGGGAGCAAGCTTGCAGTCTATAGATTTCCTAACTGGAATATAAAAGAGTAAATTACCCTAGTCTCACATGTTACCGGAATATTATTGTTTTAACTTTTGAATGCTTGTTTTTTTTTTTTCCTCTAGATTTGTCTCCTTTTCCAAGATGTAAATTATTATGTGAATAATAAGATAAATTGATTGTTGCATTAAGATAACATCAATATTCCAGTATTATGAAATCTAAAGGTTGCACATCTTAGTGTCAAGATTGGGAAGTTTTGCTTATATGTACCATATTAAAAAGGTTGACGATTCTTTTATTCTCGTATCTTTTTCTTAAGTATATGTCCTTGACAGGGGCCCGACCATCCCTTCAGTATTGATAAGGTTGGTGGGCTTGTGAGTCTGCCAGTCCAACCACGTGTTATACCTCGTTTTTCAATCATTTACAAGTCTAGAGAATGGGGAAAGGTCCCTTTAAGCTAGAATTGATTCATAATCTACTCGTCTGTTTGAATGAATGATGGGGATGACTTCTGAAGTTGAATTTAATAAGTGGTTAGGTTGGAGTTGCAGTGCGTTTTACTCCAACCGCAAAGAACTATAATTTTTTATTGATTGTGCGAAGGACAGTTAATAATATGATTGTGCTTTAAGCTTTTTCTGTTTTGGTTAAATAGAATTATTGTCATCTTCAAAATATCTTTCACAGGTTCTTTTTTATAATTATTCAAGTCTATATGTGTACCTAATTGCCTTTATCACATCTTTACAGACAAACGTTTCAATATTTGCTTTTGAAGCATCAAGGAAATCCCAGAATGCACTTTCAGCGGCTTCTGCCGCACTTGAACATAGTGGTTGTGGCAGCATTGCTTCGGTTGAAGATGCTCTAAATTTCAATTTTCACAATATAGAAGAATTAGTGAGGCGTATAAGAGCTGCCATGGAGTCTTTCAATCATTAAAGCAATAAGGAAACTTTCTCACCAACATGTCATCGTTTACAATAGATGGATTCTGTGCTGGGACCCTTTATCAACGAATGCAAGGATAAATTTGCTCCAAAGGAGCACTTTAACCATGGAAAAAATGGGAGCAGTTATCATGCTGACCACATCTGTTATGCAGCATTGTTTGAGTAAATGAAGTTCAAAACTTCAGCTTTTAAAATTAAAAGTAATTATTGAGGCTTATGAGGCATTCTATTGAGTTTTATGGTCATTAAAGCTTCAAGGTAACTTTCCCATGCATATTACATCTTTTATGTGGCGATTTGCTCTCCAGAATGAAACTAGACGGATGTTGTGCTGATTTTTCCTATTTTATGAGAGCGTAGTACATCATTCACTTTTCTTGAGATCAGCAAAAGCATTGGTTTTGAAATATGTACGAATATTTGGCCAGCAATCTGAACTGCAGTTGTGGTTTTTCACGTGTAAATTGCCTAAATTATGTTGAACATATTAAGATTCGTGAGGATGTTGGGATTTAGATGGTTGACAGGACCATCCTGCAAAGAATATGATGTAGAATGACGAACATATTCAGATTCCTCTCTCCTAATTGTACATGAAATTTGTTTATCCTAAAACTTGATGCTGATGTCTCCAATGCTCATATTGTTCACGTCCTTTCAAGCTTTGTCGGATGCACAACTGAAATTATCAACGCTGCAGCATCAGATTGGGAAGCAATGGCAATTTTGGATTATGGTATAGAAGATTCTTTAACAAATGCTCTATTATCTGGAAATTGATTTCTTAATCTTCAAAATATTTTTTGTAAGGTATCCAACTTTCTGCTGTTAAAGTGTATTATATTCTTCTCCTGTTTTAATTTTTAGTTTTAAGAATCTTGTTTCATTTACTTTGCAGGCTGTGCTTTTAATTACCTTTAACATAGGAGTGGGACTATTCAGTTTTGTTGATGAGGTAGAATGGATTAAGATTTGTGACTGTGAGTCCTACTGTAGATCTCAGCTAACAAGGAGTTTGCAAGCTACTGTCTTCAGGAAGCAAGTCTAAAGAATGGCTATTTGTCTTACCGCTAGTCCCATGAAAACTCTTAAAAATTTCCATTCTTTTTGGCAGAAAGTTCTGCTAATAAAATCTACGTTAAAACATGCTGGGAGGTCATCATTATTCTCTCCTTTTATGCTCTCAATTCAACTGTTTGAGCAGGTATAAACAATTCACTTCATTATAACGTGAATCAGAGTTAGTATTACTTTTTTTCGTATTTGATTTTTCTTATTTATGCTACAAACAAACTACTGGAAACACGCTCAAAAAAATAAACTACTGGAAACATACTCGGTTTGTTTGTGCATGGTTGAGCTTTTACTTGTTTTCCTGGAATCTCTCATTCTGGTGGCAACAGAAATTTTAATTATGTGTGCTTGTCCTCCTCTTTTATAATTTATTATAATTAAATGAAAATCTAACACTCAATAGGACTCAATGGAGAAAAATGATTTATGTAATCGACCCCATTTAGTGGGATAAAAACTTCTTATTGTTCTGTGTTTGTCCTCTTTTATATGTTCCTTTTATATAACTGACTATACCTACACACAGTTTGTTGTTGCTCCAAATTGATGAGCAAATTCTCAGTAGCAGTGGTTAGTATTTTATGTTTTACGATCATTTGTGTGGTTATTTTTAAACTATTTTTTGTTATATACGAAATTGAGTTGTACGTGAAACAAAGTTTTTATGTGCTGTTACCTAATGTTTTAAATCAGGGTCTGCTATTCTTTCAATGAACAAATTTAGCCTCAAAATGAGTTGGGTGTTTTCAAAAAGATGCAATTGAAAATTATACAAGTAAAATATCAAAACTCGAAAATTTTGAGTGGAGTGGAGATGTTAGAATAAGCAATTGCAGTAAATAAAATATTGCACATGTTAAAATAATCATGAATATGTATACGACAACTTTTCATGTACATCAACGTTGAATTTCAAACAACTATTCTCCCCGATATTCCATCCTTAAATTCTCAACGAGCAGTAAAAAAGGTAGCAGTACAGTTCATATTCGTGATATTTTTATCAGTTGATTGCAATTTCCAAGAAAGCTTAGGAACCAAGAAAAATGAGTTAAAACTAGTGCTAGTGACCTTGATGGTCCCAATGCCAATTATTTGTGATGTGCATAATTCCTATCATATGATCAAAGCATTCATTGTCCATGATTTAAGATTGTATTGTTTTGAACTTTCAATGCATTCAAAACAATTCTTTTTCGAGCAATTACACCAATGATGATTTCTACTGTAGAAAGTTTTGGTTTGAATTGGATAATCAGCAACTTGTAGAAAGCTTCTTTGATAGCAGTGCCATGGGATTTTGATTCATGAGAAGAGGTGTGGCTCTAGAGGAGGATCTTCTTTCCAAGGACATTTCATGTTTAACCATCATGACGTTTCAAGTTAAAAAAAAAAAAAAATCCTTAAGATGATCAAGTAGAGTTAGTATTTTGACAAAAATGGAGAAGTGTGTCTACAATACTGTGATGAAAAACTTAAAAAACAAAGAATGCATTTTTTTTTATTCCAAGAGCAGAAGAGGTACAATCTTTGTCGGAGAGGCATAGTCCATAAAAGAAGAAAAATGGGAAGATAATTAATCTAAGGGGCATTTACATACGTAGCACATAATTCTTATGTATCTACATACGTCACACCTTAAGTTTCATATTTGCACATATAGCATTCAAATCTTTAACATCATATCAAAGATAACATGATTATCACTTTTTAAGTGAAATACACCTTTTCTTGCATAGGTTTAAAGCACCGAAGTGTTATATATTTAAATATGAAAGTTTAGGTGTGAGATCTGTAAATACATAAGAATTGTGTACTACGTATGTAAATTACTTTTAATATAATTAATCACAATTCATTCTACATAAAAAATAGTAACAAGTGTTTTGCACATAGAAGGCAGAATAGCAGCGGATTGCCAAGTTAGCTATCATGCAATGCAATTGGCTACATTTTTATTCAACAAAGGAGGATCAAGAGCTATAGATTGCCAAGACAGCGTTGTAGTTACGGGTGGTTTGTTCTGGGAAAAAGCTGATGGAGGCTTGCTTTACGGAAGTGAATGCATAATTTAATATGCTATTTTTCAGGATTTCAATTGCTTAAAGACTTGTCTTCAACGACATTTTCCTGGTTAAGTTCAATCTCTGCCTTATATGATATTTATTTTCTAGAAATATTATTTTGAATTTTAAAATTAAAAATTATTTATATTCAATGTTCCAATTATGTTATTTCTTTAATGTGAAAAATTTTATTCTTAAGCTTAAGATGCTATAATAATTCAGAGAGCAAAATTCACTCTCATGAAATATCACTTGTCAACTCATTTATCTGTTAGCCATTGATCTCATCCTGGCTAATTGTCAGGCAGGTCAGCCTTCATAACCTTCTTTTCTCTCTTGATGAGGTGTCAGAGTCGCATCAAATTTTTTCGTTTTTGTTTTCCCTCCATGTGGAGTTGCAATGATTAATGATCCAGGTTTTTTTTCGCTTGAAAGACAAATTCTTTCTCATATGTGGTTTTTTTTTTTTTTTGTTGCTGTACTTTATCTTTGAAAAAATGTTGGAAAATTTACATACATAGCGCAAAAATCTTATGTATTTATATATCTCACGACTAAACTTTCATATTTACATACATAGCACTTTGTAGCTTTAAACCTATACATGAAAATGTGCTTTTACTTTTAAAAAGTGGTAATAGTGTTGTTTTTTATGTGATATTAAAGATTTGAGTGATATATGTGTAAATATGAACATTTACGTGTCAGATATGTAAATATATAAGAATTTTTTGCGGGCATCTTTAGAAGTTTTTTTTTCTCCCTCAAATGAGACAATTGTCTTGAGATAAAAGTTTTCATTTTCAAGCTCAGCTATGGCAATGTTTTCCTTCTCCTTTGAGCTATCGTCTCTCTCTTTTCTTTTCCACCTCAGCTTTATTTCACAAGTTATCTTTTGGTTTACACAGGAAATTCGTTAGAGATGGTAAATCAGTAACATCTTGTTAATGTACTAATCCAATAGCATCACAAATAACTCAGTTATGTACAAGCATGTTTATTTTGGACTCCACAACTTGATTAGTCCCCTTATGGATGACTTCCAAGGTTCATCCATACCTCATGAGCAGTTTTGAGATTACATATGCGATCGATGAACTCATTATTAACCAACCCAAAGCAAATATCTCTAAAATAGTTGGCATTTACTCGTCCCATGTGCTTTTCGTGGGACCCTTGCTCGGCAAAAGGCTTATATCCCCATCATGCATCAGCAATCCTCACTAGGACCTTATACTCATTATGCCCATCCACTGATTGTTCGATATCTACCGGTAAAAATTGAAAGATAAAAACATAATCAAACCACATTTGCATCCATGAATGTGATACAAATTAAGTGAAGTGTCAAAATAGCCCCCTGACAATTTATGTGGGGTCATTTTAGTCTTAGTATGTAAAAGTATCAAATTATTCTCCATGTTTTTTTAATGTGGGCTGAAATAGTCCCCGGCGAGGACTCACAGCTTCTTCATTTATTAATGCACATATCCTTTAACTGCTTGCTGTTATTTCACCTAACATTCAGAGTTTATTTCCAGACAACTTTTATATTAATTTTAGTTCATATCAGGCTTCTGCTCTTATTTTTGAAGTATTCGTGGTTTGACAAATGATGCAAATTTTCTGAAGGCATTTTATTGCATATTTTAGTCTCCATGTTAGAAACTGATTGCCTCTTTTTCTACATCAAGAATATTTTGGACAGAATATGACCTTCGAATCAGCTCTTGGCGATAACTTATTGGAAGATTTATGGAAGATTTACATACGAAGATTTACATACAAACCACTCAATTCTTATGCATTTACATATCTAACACCTAAACTTCAATTTTTACATATATGCCTCCTTGCATATACATGAAAAAGGTGTAGTTCATCTTTTAAAAGTTAAAATGCTGGTGATTTTGATGTGATACGAAATATTTGGGTGGTGTAAATGTAAAAATTAAATTTTGCGTGTTAGATATGTAAATATATAGGAATTAGGTGGTATATGTAAATGCCCCCAACTCAATTCGAGTAGGATCTGAAATTTTTTTTGGCACTCATGAGATTAACTTCTCGCTATGCTATCTTAAATTTTTTTGATTGGCCAGAGAAGTTATATTTGCCTGTGAGAATATATATATATATATAATTTCTTTTCTTTATGGCAATTCCATCTTATGAAAAGGGATTCCATCAAAGAGATGGAGCATTTTGGTGTTTTCGGATATGTACTACAATGTTTTTGTTGATTCTAAGCTTTTCTTGGGAAGGGGAAATGAGAGAAGTTAGAGAACTCAACAATGTCTTAGCCTTATTAATTTCAACTGTTTTTCATGAAATGAGATGGAAATTTTTTATGGCATTGCATATATTTATTTATTTATTTATTTATTTATTTCATGCATGTAGGATTTATTTTTCCCCTGTAATAACTAGGATTCTTTGAGCTCTTGTTAATTCTGATGGCTGTGGTTTTAGTGAGGAAAGAATTTTGTTGCAGCTCAAATGGCTGCAGATTTCTAATTTGCAAACCCAATCTTGCTTCATTTCCTCTACTAGTGAAGTTTTACATACCTAATACCCGAACTTTTTTACTTTTTGCATTTATACCATCCAAATTTTCATCACTTTTATTTGTAAAATGGTATACAAGTAAAAATTAAAGTTTAGGTGTTAGAAAAATATATAGGAATTAGGTAGTATGCATGTAAATGAATTTCTGCTTCAAAAGTTTAAAAAATGTAGTTGTTATAGCGTTCTTTTAAACAGTTTTACCAAACAGGGGCACCATGATCATTTTTTTTCAAAAATAACTGTCCCACAGCTGTTTTCACACAGCTGCACCAAACAGGTGGTCAGCTACCCCGCAGCTACTTCCCCGCAGCAGCTTTTTAGAGCAACGCAACTGTAGCTGCACCAAATAGAGCCTTGGAG